AGGGATAGATGAGATATCAGGAGCATGGAGGCTGGGGTTGCGGAGGGGACAGTGCAGCGGTTCACGAGCTCTTCTTCTGCCTGCTTAGAAGTAGCACTGAGGGAAGGGCTCTGGGTCGCTGGGAACCTGGATAGGTGTCGTGTGAACTGCGGGGGGTTGTTTGCAAAGATGATGCGTTTCATGCCCGAGACGCGGACCTTTAAAACCGTGCAGGGGGGAAGAGCTGGATAGCGATGACTCTCTGCATCCAAACCTCTAAATTCTGCTACCTGAGAGGAGCAGGCGCCTAGCCGCAACCCCCCGTGTGTTGCTGCTCTTCGAGGCACGCTGCCCTGTGCTCTTCCCCCAGCCAGGGCCAGCACCTGCCTGTTCTTGGAGCCGGCAGCTCCTTTGCTCCAGAGCCTGCAAAATCTCATGTCTGAGAAGTGCAGGTGCTCGTACCTGAATCCTCAACATTGCCTAGCAGCGTGAACACCGATTTTTGGCTTGGCCAGTCCTTTGTTCTGTTTTCCTACAATCCAGCTCCTGAGGAGGCAACGTGTGATTTTCCACGTGTGCGTCCTGAAACACCTGGTCTCTGTGTGCTCCTGTGCACAGTACAATTGCATGGCAGAGCTGCAAGTCTTCAGATCGAGCATCCAGATTCTGCTGACTTTAGTAAAACTACAGCCACAAACCATACTCCTGCTTGGAAATCAGTAATTACTTCGGTTTCCTTTTCCAATGAGAGCATGGATCCCATGTATCTGACAACAAGAAGGATTACTTTGGCAAATGTATTTTGTTAGAGTCAACTGTCAGTTTGCTTTTTGATATCATATATTCCTGTTACGCTACCTAGATGTTTGGATGTATATATCTTTTCTAAACCTTTTGGAATAATTCAGATCAAAATGTTTTGTGATTAATAATCAAACTATACATGTATACGCATGTATGCCAGATATGCATAATGAAAAAGAAGATGAGCCTAATGCAGTTAATAAGGTAAGTAAAATACAATATCAGCATTCCCACAGGTAGCAATGAGATTTCTGATGAAAGAGAAAAAAATCGGGTGATTTGAGGCAAGTAGTAGTTTACAACCATAACTAAAATGGTGATGTTTGAAACAATATCCCAGGAATGGGCTGAAGCCATGGCAGGAGGGTGGTTTCCCATGAGCCAAGCTCTCATCAGCTCTGGGCTGCAGCCGCTGGCTTTGACCACAGCTTGTTTTCTTTGCTGTCTTCTGCAGGAGCGGTTTGGGTAGTCCTTCTTCTTGCCGGCTGTCCCGGACTGAGTCGGAGCTCAGGTGCCGCGTCCCGGGGGGGAAGCTGTGCAGCAACCGAGGCAGATGCGAGTGTGGGGTCTGCATCTGCCAAGTGACGGAGTCCGGCAAGTACTACGGCCCGCTCTGCGAGTGCCACGACTGGGTGTGCGAGATCTATGATGGGAAGATCTGCGCAGGTAAGGAAGCCACTATGGTGACAGAAGCTTAGAACATCAAGGGTATATATTATAAGCAGAAATACATTGGGAACACAGCACACTGAGATAGTAGAGACATGGTTATGTATGTGTCCCTGAACCGTGACTCTGAACAGGATTGTGGGCACATCCAGGGATTTCACCGGGTTAAAGAATACAAGTCAAAGGCACTGTCTCTGCCGTAAAATGGGACGTTCCCCAGCATGAGCTTCATATGCAGCGGGGGCAAAAGCAGGAGCTGCTTTGGGTTGGAGGCTCTGCAGACTGTTTTGAAGCTAATACAGGACACAATACTGCTTGAGTTTTTCATACAATATTGCTGCATTTGAACTGCTTGCCTAATGATGGCCTATGGTATCTACCAAGGCTTTTAACTATCTCTGAACAATCAATTTTGTCATGTAATTTTTTTTTTCTTCTCCTGCTATGAGGAAGGTTTGGTCTAACAGGTACTACACTGAGGGCATATAAATATGAAAACTGTGTTTTTCTCTAAGTAATGGTGATGCTTTCCAAATAGAGACTCAATCCAATGTAATTGTATTGTGATTTCAGAGATTTCCCCACTGACACTGTGTTCTTTAATGACAGATGAAATAACATACTTTTCTGGGACAGAATTTAGTCCCTGACAGTTGTGGAACAAATCACTTGGTTTGCATCTAAACATTATCACTCTTTCATCTTTCCAGCTGTCTTTACTTAAGTTTCTGGGCTATTTCAGTCAGATTTTGGATTTTTTTTTTTTTTTTTTTAAGCAGCTTAGAATAGGATTTTAGAAAAAGGCAGGGAGAAGAAATGCCATCACATTCCTAAGGGGATTCAGCCTGGAGCTTGATGAAAGAGGCCACAAGGGTACTTCATTTCTAGTATCCCTGCTTCAACAGCTTTACCAGATTCACACAAACGTGTCATCTTTTCAGGCCAAAAATTGCAATTAGGTCGATGGGAATGTTGCAGGAATTCTCCTGGTAAGAGGATAATACAAATGCATTCCAGGAGTGGGTTTGGCAAAATTTGTAGGAAAAAAAGAGCAACTTATTTTAGCAACAATGTAGCTGAGAATAAGAAGTCCAATAATAACATGAAGAGATCAAGGATGGAGTTATGAGAAAAATATTTGTATTTGGCACCTATGACTTTAGAGTTTTGTGGAGAAACTGATTTAACTACTCTGTAGTCAGCAGTTGTAAGTCCAGTTACATAAGAAATACCGGGGCTCCGCTGATCAGTTCGGTGCTTTGCTGTCCCAAACGTGAGTTTTCTGCTTGATGGTGTGATTTCAGTATGCTTGCTGTCATTGCTGGGGTACTTGTATGAGGTGAAACTGAAAGCTCCTCCAACTTTAATATTCTGCTACAAGCTCCACTATTATGTTTCTGTTAATGTCACGAGCATGGCTGCAAGTTTTGTCAGTGCTTTGGTGGAAAGGGGCGCTGACAGGATAAACAAACCCCAGAGATTTCTGACAATATTTAGCTTTCGTGTAGTACTTCCTGCAGCAGTTCAAAGATGTGAATGTGAAGGGATTAAAAGTTTTTTAAAAAACATTTTTTTGTAGATGTCACCTTTTGTAGCTGGAGTATTGAAGCCGTGTTACCACTGAGATGTCAAATAATTTAAATTCACTCTTCTGGAAAAAGAAGTAGTAAAAAATTCAATACAAAGTAATGGGGAGGGAAACAGCAGTGAAGGGCCTAGGGGTTTTGCTTGTTTGGTTTGAATTTTTTGACAACAGTGCTGAAAGTCCAGCTGGCTTTTTTTGAGTCCAGGGCTGCCCAGTACTGCAGGAGAGGCCCTGGGTAAATTCTTTGGGGTTGGGACACGGGGTCTTGATCTGGGTGGTGCAAATCCTCCTTCCAGGCTGTGCTCCTTGCCCTCTTCATTTCCCCCTCCACATTTTTAGTCACTTAACTTGAAGTTGTGTGTCTATGGAGGAGGGGAGAGTAGAAAAGATGGTCAGATCTAGTAAAACTGGCAGGAAACTGGCCTTATGTTGTGTAAATAGCAACCCACCACCCCGACCCTTCAGTAAACTGCATCTTCTGATGTTTCTTAATGCTACACCACAAAGCTGATTCCCCATACATGACATACTTGCCTCTTTTTTTATTTTTGACTCAGTGATTAAATTATATTTCCTTTAGGTGAATAGCCAGAATGTCTTACTGCAGTTCTATTCCTGTTTCCCGCTTTTTTCTTTTTTTTTTTCTATTTTTATTTTGATTTTTGCTGTCTCATTTCACTGCGGGTCTCTGCTGATGAGTACAACAATAGCTGCCGACTAATACCATGTGCAGAACTTGCAGAGACTAATTGAATATTCCTCTAGAGAGTCACGGTGTTTGAGATTAATGCTGTCTCAAGCAAGCTACTTTTCAGGCTGCCAGAATGATGCTTTTTTCAAGTGACTGATGTCTAATCACCGGTGATGTTCATATTCAGAGTTAGACATGCAGAGTTGTTTGAGTCACTGGTGCCATAGATAATGGTGTTTCCCTGCCAGTCAGTTCAGGCATATCGCCACCTCCCTCTCCTGTCCAAGCTAAACAAGATACTTAGTTTCTCAGTATGCGGCTCATTGTCTTCAAGGCACTTTCTGGGTCAGATTCATCTTCTGGAGCAGTCCTTGGACACTCGTATTCTGAAGAGGGGGGTCCTGAAGATAGAAAATATTTCCTTCTGTTTATGACTTGCTTTTTCTTATCACCTTGTATAAACAATGGAAAAGAGATTATGCCGTGAGTAATGAAGAGGAGCAGATACAAATATCTCTGTGCTTTTACCCTCCCTTGAGACTTCTCTACTGTATTTCACTTCCGTGATGTTTCCAGGTGCTTTGGAGGAAATTCTGATCATTTTTTTGACTGTTATCCCACTGAGATTGATAAAGCAATAGGTGACCTCTCATGGAGTCAGAAACGAAGAAGAGCAGAGAAATGAAGTGCTGCAGTCTGAGTCCTGCTCAGTGGCCTTTTTGTCTGCCTGCCATAACATGGGGTGTAGAGGAAAGAAAAGTGGAGTCCCAATACTATCATTCTCTTTGCAATGTGGGTGACATCTTTATTTTGTCATTTTCTGCTGATCTTCAAGGAGATGTGCTGAGAGGAGGAAGACTGCAAAACACTGAATCAAAACCCCAAAGGATTTGTGCATCATTCAGAGCAGACAATATATTTGTTGCTGTTTATCTGCAGATAGTAGTTCTGGCCTCGGACAGTTTCATGTTGCCTCAGGCTTTATTAGCAGGAGTGAAGCCTGTGTTGTGTGCAAAGGAAAGTGGAATGCGGCACTAATTCCTACCACATCGCTGCCTGATGCCTATTTTTCTGTGTTTTTGCAGTACAGAGCAAAATCACTTTCAGTGATTTTTTTTTTTTTAGTTAAACTTTTTTACTGTGCATGTAATTAATGAAGATAGAAAAAGTAAATTAAGCATAGACTTCCATGGCCAAGTGGAGTGGGAACACTAGGTGTTGCTAGGGAATGCTCCACAGAAATTGCCAGCTGGAACATGAGACAGTATGATTGCACTGCTCATAGCTGGTGAGATCAAGGAGCAGATACAATTCAGTGTCAGCAAAGAGTGCAACATAAGAAGAAGTGTCCTCTTTGCTTGCAACTATATTCATTATCTTAGTTTTCCATACTTACTAAGATTTTATAAACAATTTTTCTTCCAAACCAAAATACCTTTTACACCTACTGAATAATAGTGGTACTATGTGATTTACCACTGCCATAAGCAGTTGCTGGGGAACTTTTGTTGCCTCTGTCCAGGCCACTGAAAGATCTTTCTGTTTCTTTCTCCAAAGCCATAGTTACTGTAAGTGCTGTACCTATTTTAAGACTAGTTCAGCAATGTAATGGCAGTGTTAGTCGTACGCTTTTACAGCCAGAAGTGGTATTATAGTTACGTGAAGGACAGAAAGATATCAGTGCCATTGATTTCCACTCTGTAATGCTTTAAACTATGCAGAGGACACAAGTGAAAAATCAAATCGACAGGGAGTGGATGTAGAAATACAAGATAAATCCAAATTAAAGTATTGATGTAATAAGTAGTTATGCATCCATGTGAGTTTCTTGGATATATGGCCCTATATATCAGTTGGAAAGAGCTGGAAATTGAGAATGGAATCTGGACAACATTTTGAGCTGAGGGCTGCTCTTTGCACGAAAGCTGAATAGTGTTTTTAAGCAGAGCTATCTTAGTTGGGTTGGGAATACTCTAACAATTGTGCCTTTGTATTTGTATTGAAGGGAGGTCTGACACGCTGATTTTTCATTGAGCAGCATTTCTTGCTAGAAGTGTGAAGAAAAGCCAGTGTGTGACCTGCATTGATTGCTGTTTTATCTGGAGTGAAATTCAAAGCCCTGGATTTTGAGAACAGGTGTAAGCCTCTTCTCTGTCAGAGGCCACATTTGAAGAGATTCAGCTGTGGCACATGTGGTCATTGGAGACACAGCCTCCTAAAAAGACCAAGTTAAAAACAGGGCAGGAGGCTACTGATGGGAATGGAGGTTGCAGTTCTTTTCTGACCTGGTTTGCTTTAGTCTGGATTTCAGAACTTGGCTTCAAGTGGCATTTCCTCCTGGAGCAGGGATTTGTAGGTGTGATAATAGCATGCATATTCATCTCAAAACAAGTCTCCCAGACTCTAGTAGAAGTGAAATTGTGATAGCATAGACCTCACTGTGGGCTCGTTGCCTTGCTAAGCGCATGAGGTCCCGGGCAGACTTACAAAGTGCAAGCTAAAGCCCATATTATTCTTGGCTTTATGCTGTTGGTACCTGATCTAGGTAAACTCAAGCAGCCTTTGATACATCTACAATTGCTCTAGTTCCAAATGCAGTGTGTGTTCACAGCAGTTGCGAGCAAGGCACGAGGAGGCAGCTCAGAGAGAGGCACCATGAGGGAAATTACAAGGGAGGCGTTTTGAAAGTATTTTATTAAACGCTTTGTTGCTAAATGCCTA